AAAGGAAGGAACTCTTACCATTTGCAACGGCATGGATGGAACTGGAGAGCATTATGCTAAGTGAAATAAGCCAGTCAATGAAGGAAAAATACCACATGATCTCACTTATTCATGGATAATTGAGACCATTATAAACTTTTGAACAATAATAGATACAGAGGCAGAGCTGCCTCAAACAGATTTTCAAACTGCATTGGGAAGGCCGGGGAGGGTTCGGGAGCGGGAGGTGGGGGGGTAAGAGATCAACCAAAGGACTTGTATGCATGCATAAAATAAGAACCAATGGATATAAGACACTGGGGTATAGGGGAGGCTAGGGGACTGTCTAGGGAGGGCGGGGGTAATGGACACATATGTAATACTCTTTGTAATACTTTAAGCAATCAAAAAAAAAAGACCCGCACTCTATTCCCTATAGCATCTATGGATTCTATTTCAATCATACCCCTCTTCCCTTTTGGGAACCTATGAGTGTGCTTGGAGAAGCAATTAGTTGTCCAAGAAAACATAAAAGGCAGCTTCCAGTAGGACAAGTTTCATTCAGGGAATATAGAGAATGAAGCGACACTGGGGCAGTGGTGGAGGCATTTTGATCTGGAGATGCAGTTTTGACTCTGTTCTGGTCTCATATATATGCAGCCTGTCAAGGTGAGCTTCATGGATGTGTGACTGGTAGGTTTGGTCAAGGATCTGTGCTTAGAGGGTTTAAAGCTCTGTAGTGTCACCTTCAAATTCTTCATGATTTTTAAACAATGGGCTTTGTATTTTCCTTTTTTGCAAGACTTTATGAATTATGTAGCTGGTCCTGATATGTGTCGTTATTGGAAATAGGAAAACATTTACCTCGGTTCCTTCAAGGGGAGCAAAGTCATTAATACCAATAATTGGTCCAATAATACGGCCATTTACACCATCATTTTCAAATCTATCTGCTTCCCTCCATGGGTAGTAACCATATTGTCCTCTACTTCATGGCACATCTGGTCCACTTAGTACCTATCCTCAAGCTTAACCATTGACTAAAGCACTTTCTCAATCTAGTGAAACAAAATGTGTAATCAAAATTTAATCTATTTGTGGTGATGCAACAGACAACTAGAACATCTCATTAACCATGAGAGATTCAACAGCCTGCCTCTCACTTGAAAACAAATTCTAGATCCTTTGGATCCATCCATTGGTAAATCTGGGATTAGCTGCCTCTGTCTGGGCCTGGAGAGGGAGAAGGTAGGAAGGCTGGGAGGGAAGGAAGCATCTACTCCCTGGGTGCATCTTTATATGTCATGTAATGTAGACTTTCAACTCTGCAAGAAACATATGAAAAAACAAACAAAAACAAATAGATTATGATCATTGGAAGACTTTCTCCAGGCCTCTCCTTTCTCGTTTTTACTTGGTGCCCAATGGTTTATACCTTTAGCTTTGTACCTGAGTTTTTTGTGTGGGTTTTTTTTGTTTGTTTTTTTTAAAATATGTTTTATTGATTTTTTACAGAGAGGAAGGGAGAGGGATAAAGAGTTAGAAACATGGATGAGAGAGAAACATTGATCAGCTGCCTCCTGCACACTCCCTACTGGGGATGTGCCCGCAACCAAGGTACATGCCCTTGACCAGAATCGAACCTGGGACCCTTGAGTTCACAGGCTGATGCTCTATCCACTGAGCCAAACGGTTAGGGCTGTAACTGAGTTTTGTTAATTTCTGATTGATTAACTTGAGACCCTCCTGAAAGAGTAGACTCAAAACCCATTTTGTACCATCACCAGCAAGACCCAAGGATATACCAAGTCCTATGCCCAACTTTCTTTTTCCAGAATGACCCCGCAGTTTCCCACTGCACCAGGGAAGGTGATAGACATTGTGTCTGGCTTTTGGGGGGCAAGATTCATGTCATTTAATAAGGGCCTTTGGATCCAATACTGTAACCTAAAACACCAAATATAGCTTTGGTAATTTTGGTACAAGAGCAAGCACATGGAGAAAAAGTTTTCAACTTGGCAAAATGAAAGCACCCACCAAATTAGGGGAAATATTACTGTCTCTTTAAAGGCAAACAGTTCCTCCACTGGCTACACCCAATCTAAGCTTCCTGGCTCAGTGGTTTAAGAGGGTGTGAACACTTTTTCTTCACAGTTAAAACAAAAGCACCAGCTGGAAGAGTGTCTTTGGAGAACATTTCAGGACTCATCAACTGGTTGAAAAGAAGGTGAGTTTGGCTGAGAAGCAGCCCTGAGCATTAGAGTTGTTTGGGCAGCAGGTCCATGGAGTGTACATGGTGTGGGTTCTGGTCCCAGGAAGGACCAGGTTCTGTGCCAGCAGCACAGCAGGGGGGATTCTGTCAGAGGGTAATGGCAGAGGGTAGGGAGGGGAGTCTGGAGCTTTATTAGTACAACTAGAGGCCTGATGCACAAAATTGTTGAAGGGTCTTGGCCCTCGCAACCCCCTCTCCCCCCAGGGCTGTCTACCTCAGCTGGCCCTCCCAGCCCTGGAGGCTTGCCTGGAACCTCACAACCCCAGCTTCATCCACAAGGCAGTCTGAACATCATTCGGTCTAATTAGCATATTACAGTTTTATTATAATAGATGTTACATGTCTCATATTGAACAGGACACATTTGTGCTGGCTGATTGGTGCACCTTCATGCATTTGCTGCGCTGATAGACACTGAGGGCTGCCTGACAAGCCCTCCTTTTCCCTGGACAGGAATTGAGTGTCCCCAAGGCAGGTCTTTAGAGCTTGAGGGCAATTTAGACACCACCCTGTCTAACTCCCTCTTTCTACTGAAAAAGAAGCAGGGCCTCGGAGAGTGTGGTGAGTCTAGGGGTTGCCCACATCACTAAGGGAAGAGGATATCTGGACTGCAGTTTGTAGAATCCTTTTCATGGGTAGAGGTTAGCTATTCTGCAGGAACAATGTATATGAAAATCTCCAGTTAATGTCCCTCATTACAAGCTTCCTAAAAGTGTTCAGTCTGGAA